ACAAAGACTGTCCTTATTACTTCTCCTCAAACCTAATCCTTAAACCCCAAATCCAGACCCTAACTCCCTGATGCCCGGAAATCTGAAAGGTGGCGGTAGCAGTCGTCTGGGTCTACCTCTACATGGTCTACCTGCAGAGTGTCCTACCAGGCAACCAAGGGCTTTTGATGGATCTCGTAGGGCTCCTTCAGGGGAGCTATGAGGGTACTATAAGGGTTTAGGAGCTTCACATGCTTTTTGATGGTGGTTGTGTTTCGTTTGTTCATGACGGCGGTGCAGGGCATTTCTCCTCAACAAACGGTGCGGGGTTTAGTTTAGTGGCTTTACCAGAAAATGAAGTTTGATGAAACCAGAGAAGAATTGATTTTCCTAACTTGTTTTTTCTATGCCCTGCAAAAGGCAAGAAACCTACGCTGCACCTAGATCTAGACAGCTTTTAATTTTGCTTTGGCTGCGAAAGCTCCGACGCTCCAGCAGTCTAGGGCTTGGGTCCCTGAAACCTGAAACGCCTTAGGGTTTATAGGGTTTAGGCATTAGGGTTTGGGATTTAGGGTTCACCTGTTTCGCGGAAAAACCCACAACTCCAGTTGAAGCCCATGGGCGGTGCCTTTGAAGCCATTCCGAATAGCATGGAATAGAGTAGCCAATACGGTATTAGGGTTTAGGGTTTAGGGCTATACATTACTGCAAGTGTTTTGGAGAGTTGCAGGCAGAGTACAAAATCATGCAGCCCTGAGCCCTGAACAGGTTACAACTGGGACGTTCGACCGGTGTGCCGCGCACACCCCGAGATTTTCGAAGAGACCGAGATTTGAGCACCGCGGCTTGTGTGAAACTGGGAGTGGAGGGTGCATATGTCTTAAACTACCATAGCCTGCAGGCTGTTAGAATGAGCAGTAAGGGTGGGTTGCAATTCAGGATTTAGGATCAGACTCCACCTGTACACGTACCCACTTGAGTTCGGGTTCAGGGTTCAGTGTTTCTGGTGCAGGGCAGAGGGTGCCCTTCTTCTCCTTGTTTCGTGGGGGTCTGGGTTTGGGGTCTCGCGTCGCTGCTATTCTCGTGCGCTTTAAAAGAGGACCCAGTCGGATGCAGAAATAAGAAAATACGAAGGCCTGAATACCTGGCATGCGGTCGTGGGGTGCAAGATGTTTCCGCAAGCACTGTAGAGGTCTTGGGGTGTTTTTTTTGTAGAACCATAAAGGGCCTTTGCGGGTACAGTAGAACTCGTTATTCCGACCTACATGTCGGTTGCAAGGTTTGGCGGAACTCACGGGCATCCGGCTGGACAACCAGCTGGGCCAGGGTCGTGAATCTGATTTTTCATGATTCCGATGATGATTCTGTTGAGTGATGTTGGATACGGACAGCAATCGTGATTGTGATGTTGAGGAGTTGGTGGAGAATGAGGACCACGATGTCCATGACAACGGCCCTAAACCCCCAAACCCCTAAACCCTCAACCCTAAGCCCCAAAACCCTAATCCCTAAACCCTAAATCCAAGTGATCATGACGAAGATGACACCGACAGTGGTTAGGATGATCACGAAACCGCAAGCCTGGACGCCAACACCAAAAACACTTAACTCTGTGCATCAGCGTCTAGGGCATAGATCCTCCTTTTCTTGTGAATTTGATTCTGCCGTGGCTCAGGTTAGGCGCTTTGTCCTGTTGGAGAACGTGAATCCCAGACCTTCCAAGATCCCTTAATTAAGGAATATTCCTTAAATCGTATTAAGGATCCTACTATAATTTAAGCGATATTCCTTAATTAAGGGATTTTGGAAGGTCTGGGATGAGCGTTATTCCGTCGCCAAAGATGCGGCTTCTGATCACCGACGCCTTGGAGGACTTCGCTGTTGCTTCTGGTTCGGTATGTGCTTTGCTGCCTCGAACCTAGGCTCGGAGGGGATACCGAAAGGCCCCAAAGTAGTTCCTTTTTGGGATTACCTTATAGGTTTCTATATATGAACCCCAAAAAGGAACTACTTTGGGGCCTTAGGGAAAGCCGTAATCGGACCCTTAATAGGGACCTCTACCCTATAATGGGCTATATATTGGGTATATAACTGCTATATTGAGGGTATATACCTAGGGCAGTAGAGCAGCGACTGCTTCCCAGGACTTCGCTTCGAGGTCGATGTCGGGGTCATGGTTCAGCGTGAAGGATAGGGGTGGTTGTCAAAATTATAGTGTCCCTACCTAGATCCCCAAAAGTAGGTAGCATAATGGCCCAAAACCTACAAAAGGCTATTATTCTACATACTTTGGGGGTCCAGGTGTTATAATACGGCACCAACTATTTCAGGTACCCAAAAGGGGACCCGAATTTGACAACTACCCATGGATTCGTGGGTCTGCCAGCGGAGAGGTAAAGATCGAAGCTGCAGGTGGCATCGAAGAGCCAAGCCCTACCATACCCAAAGGCCCCAAAGTAGTTCCTCTTTTGGGGTCATATTTTTTGAATTCTATAAGGTTTTTGGGGCTCATATTTAGAATTCTATAAGGTAACTTCAAAAAGGAACTACTATGGGGCCTATGGGTAGAGCCTGAAACCCCAAAGCCTGCAATAACTTGAGTCTGATTCGTAAGGCCCCAGCTGTGCCTGTGAAACATGGTGCACCGAGTCCTGTGACTGTTTTAGGACCTATATAAGGAAGTCATATCAAGGAACCCAAAAGAGATAGGTTTAAAGGGAACTCCAGAAAGTTGGAATATGGTTTCAGGGTAGGATACCTTATAATTTACCATAAAGGGTTTAGGATAGTCATATTCCAACTTTCTGGCTTTAGGGTCCAGGTAGGGTTGAGGGTTTAGGGCTCAGCCCGGCAATTGTAAGCTGTAGCTCCGCTTGTCCGCTGCAGAGGCCTACGGTAAAAGCCAGAAAGTTGGAATATGATTATCCTAACCCTTCTGTGGTAAATTATAGGGTATCCTACCATGAAACCATATTCCAACTTTCTGGAGTTCCCTATATACGTTTAGGGCTTAGGTTTGCAATCTGTCGTCAGTGGGGCGCCAGATAAACAGATCCAGAATGGGAATGTCAAACGGGACCAGCAGTCGAAGACCACAGGATCAGGGTTCAGGCTGCAGGGATTTCCTTGAGCCCTGAAACCCCCCCAATAAACCCACGCTGAGATGTGGACAGGCAGAACCTGAGGTTCGCACAGCCCGTTCTGTATCCACGGCCCCAGTGCAGAGTTTAATTTATTATCTGTGCAAATTATAGCGAGGTCAGCGACGAGGTCAGTCCAGAATTAAGACAATTAGCGACCTGACGAGGTAGAAAAATTAGTTAATTTAGTAGCTAAAGCTAAACGAGGCCCCGGATGACCCAAATCGTGCTAATTAGACGGCAATTCGCCAAACTCGCCGGCTGGGCTGGTTTCGGGCTGGGTTGGGGCAGGGGCCCAAATCGTGCCAAGCAGGGGCCAGGCGCAAATCGTGCGAATTAGACGCTAATTTGCTCAAATTCCGAAGGCTGGGGTGGGAGGCAGGGCCAGGCGCAAATCGTAGACGCAAATTCCGAAGGCTGGGGGGAGGCAGGGCCAGGCGCAAATCGTGCAAATTAGACGCCGCCCAAAACTCACCGGCTGGGCTGGTTAGGGCTGGACTGGGGAAGGGACCCAATCGTGCGAATTAGGCGCTAATTTGCTCAAATTCCGAAGCCTGGCGCTGGGAGGCGGCCGGCAAATCGTGCGAATTAGGCGCTAATTTGCTCAAATTGGGCTGGGCTGGGGCAGGGGCCCAAATCGTGCGATTAGGCGCTAATTTGCTCAAATTCCGAAGCCTGGCGCTGGGAGACGGCCAGGCGCAGATCGTGCGAATTAGACGGTAATTCGCCCAAAACTCTCCGGCATAGGCAGAACTGGGCCTGCCACACTTGCTCAAGTGTTTGTGCGGGGCAGGCGCCAGTTTAGGAACTATGCCCTGGCCTAATGTGTAAACGTCTGCCTCCGAAGCTCTTCTGGAGAAGGTCACGGGCTCAATCCTTGGTGGTGTCATGCAATCCCTTCCCCCACCCACATTCGAGATTTTGGGGTGACCTGAAGCATCGGGGTTCTCCCCAAACTCACCGGCTGGGCTGGGTTAGGGCTGGGCTGGGCAGGCGCCCAAATCGCACGAATTAGGCGCTAACCTGGGGCTGGGAGGCAGGGCCAGGCGCAAATCGTGCGAATTAGACGCTAATTCGCTCAAAATCAGGAAAGAAGAAAGAACCCTAATATCTCTGCCCCACCCCTTTCCCGACCGTGGCTTGCGCTCCAAGACAAAGCATTTGAGCAAGGTGGGAAGGGGGGGGAAGCGGCTTTGCCTGCATGTACCTCCCTAGCCCCATGCAAGCATCGGTCTGGAACAGAACACAACCCGTTAAAGGGTTGGGCCCTAACCCTAACAATTATTTCGGCTCAAGTTTGGCTCAAAGAGGGGGAGGGAGAGTTCGAGGCGTTGGGATGCGAATTAGATGCTGTTTCGTCCAAATCCGCAAGCAAAAGAGCCCAAAACCACCCAAACACTCCTAAATTCTCAGCTCTGAGCCCTAAGCCCTCAGCCCTAACCCTTAAACTCGAAACCCTAAGCCCAAAGCCCACCCTTGACGAGGCACCCCAGAATTAGCCAAATTAACGCGCGAGGTAAAGCTTGAAATTAATGAGATTTAAGCGACGAGGTCAGGTCCGTGAAATTAATTAAATTATTCTAATTTGTACAGTTATTATAGTCACAACACTTTTCTTCTCGTTATAAGGCGCCCATATTATCCTGAAAGGGGTGGCATGGCCGTCTGAGTCTGAATCGAAACTGGCTGAGCGTCGAAACTCTGTAAGGCTTCTATATTGGGTTTCGGAGTTTCTTCAACTTTTGCCAAGTACTGAATGAACTGATGGGGTCAGCCTTCAGGCAACCATGTATCTGTCAACCCTTAATCCTACCTTAAGTCAACATCCAGATGCTGTACATCTTTTCTTCCAGCACTGTCAAGTACGAAGCCTCGACATGCCGGCTCGCAGCAACGTGCCAAAGCGATCATCCGCAACTCGAAGCAGCAGTTTCTGCAGATAGGAAGATGACCATGGCACATTCGCTATGCTCGGTCTCAATTCAATCCTGAAGAATGGCTTGACAATTTCCGCAGTCTTTCCTGTGTGAACCCTGAACAAGTGTTAAACCCTACGCGGAGTGCTGTGCATGCGTGAGAGTGGCATAAGCTGGGTGGCGACAGATGCACCAGAGGCTCGTATGCTGGGATTGACCCTTGCTTGTGCAGTGGCCGTATTGATTCTCGGTGGTTCCACATCATAAACCCAAGTGCCGCTAGGAGGGCATCACATCACACCAGCTGACGGGTGACTCCCTTTGGCTGCTTTGCTGGGCTACTCGCAGTGGCTTTGCTATGAAGCTGTGTCCATCTGGGATTCGATTGTACTGCTGTCAAGGCTGTTTCAAGCCATCTGAATTGATTATCGTCTCGTTGTATCCGGGCCGTGTTTACATTGCGCTTAAGGTTCTAAAGCTGCGTCTGCAGGAGAGTTTGATTCACCGTGTCTTCGGGATGTGTGAAAGACTGTTGTCTGGCGCTGCATCTGCAAATATGAAGATTCGTACTCTCTGCTGTTTAATTAATGCTCCCTTGTTGCTTCATCCGGGAACAGATGCATCTGTGTGGTGATGAGTTTTCGAGGTTGTAAATTTTAAGATTGCCAACCAGAGAAGACAAGCCCAAATCTCCAATACTGTCCCCCGGACCTAAGTATCATTCTGCTAGGTCCAGCAAGGCTGCGAACCCCTGTATCACCTGAAACAAAACATGTCGAAGCCTTCGAAAACTCCACACTCTGATAGCTAAAGAACGGGTCAGGGGTTTAGGGTTCCGCGATTATATGAAATTGGGGGTTGGGGGTTTCGGGTTCAGGGATTCAAGTTGGGGTTCGGCGTTTGCGGGTTGGATGGTGTAGAGGGTTGAGCTCTGGGGCTTACGGTTTGAGCGTTGGGTTTCAGGGTCCTTTCGGGGTTGAGGATTTAGGGCCCTTGAGTTCAGTCGCAAGACACGAATGTGCTTTAAGACCGAGACATCACAATAGTAAACCCTAGCGCCATGTCATCAGGGCCCTCACTGGAAACTGTAAGCCCTCCACTCTGAGTCTAAAGCGAGACAGACTTCCAAAGCGCCGAAGCAAGACATTCGAGGCTGTAGCCCCAAACCCGAAACCGTAGTAGAGCAATTGACATCTTACCTTGGGTACCAAAACCCCCTAAACGCCAGCATCCCTAGTAAGCCGGACATTTAATCCTAAATGCCCTTGCAAGGGCCTCGCCGAGAGACGACAGGTCCAGAGACTGCACAGTGGGCATGAGAGTAATTTTCAGGCAAATAGCGTGTGCTTTCTCTCTGTGTGTGTTTACAATCATATACGTCTCTATTCATATATACAGTTAGATGGATGGATGGGTGGATGCATAGATAGATAGACTTACGGATACACAGAGAGATAGTCTTCAGAGTTCAGGCAACAAGTGCCTTTGGATGGTTCTAGTAGCCCAGACCTTCCAAAATCCCTTAATTAAGAAATATACCTTAAATCATATTAAGGATCCTACGATAATTTAAGGGATATTCCTTAATTAAGGGATTTTGGAAGGTCTGGGAACTACGAATGGATGTCAGCGTTTGGGGGATAAGGGTCTTGTGCGGTTTCATTTGATTTAGGTTTTATACCGCAGGGAAATTAGGGTAGGAACGGCCTAGAGTTACTTACACCACCCCTGTGTTTCAAGTTTCAAGCAGCCATCACAACCCCAAACTTGAGATATAGGATTTCCGAAACTTGCAATTGAAGAAAAGCACAGCCTCAAAGAACTGGCGAGAGATCAGGGGCTGGACCAGGGTGTAGCAGGGAACCGGCAGTCTTCCTTGGTTTTTGGTGTTGAGGTATAGGGCCCTTATGCACGCGTACTGTAACTCCAAGTTCGAACTCTTGCCACAGAGAGTTTTACGTCCCCTGGGGGCGGCTAGGGTTCAGGGTTTAGGGAAGCGAGTTTAGGGTTTCCGGGTATGTTTTTGTTGGGTTTGGGTTTAGAGATTCCGAGCAGGCAAAGGTAGAAAGCCCGCCTGCCAGGTTAGCGTTCACGCTCGTGAAAGCAGCTGGATTGCATTGAAGTCTTCCGTCCGTCGAAACTTGAGTTCTTCAAAAGTGTCATTTCAGCGTCGCACATCTTACATGTTTCACAAAGCTTTCCTAAAGTCGTAAAGTTTTGGCTTAAGGCTTGCAAGATTGGCCGTGCAATCTTGGTCGAATATCGGCCCTCATTTTCCGGCACACTGGACTGTTCCTGCTACGACTACTACTAATGCTAACAGTAGTTAATACTAACAATACTGACAATAACAGGCATCGGGAAGAACAGGGCATCCTTACTCTGGTAACATAACTTATAAGTTCCTTAGCAAGAACCCAGCTTGCCTCCCATCTGCGATGTCCTGACTTGGACAAGCTGCGCTACAATGTGGAATCAGTCATATACCCAAACCGCCTAGCCGCCTACACCCCAGACCCCAAGTCAGTCGTTTGGGTAGCTCTCTAAGTTAAGGTCCCCTTTTCGATACCCCAAAATAGCATGGCACCCTTCTAATTAAACGACCCGAAAACCATACGGAACCCATTCGCATAATAAGGATCCCTGCATAAGGCCCCAATTTGTTGTTGAAACCCTCATGTTGACTCTGATTCCTATGTCAGTTAGTGAGTCCTTTTGTTGATGCTTTCTGGTTTGACGCTCTCTTGGTTTATTCGGTCTGTCTGTCCGGTTACACCTTTGTGTATCCGCCAATATCTCTGTCTCTGCATTTCTGCTAATTTGCCTCTCTTCACTGCGCCTCTCTGCTCTGCCGAAGGATGATGAGAAGCTGGTCAAGGAGGACATTGAAGGGCCCTAAAAAACATTTTTGAGGTAGGACATACTGTGCTGCATGTCGTATACCGTATACGCAGCCTACCGTATTTCCGTGTTTCCCAGTCTTCGTAAAGGGGTTTAGTCTAGCATCGGAACGCATATCGAAGCCGCGAAAAGGTAGCTAGGGCCAGGTGGAATGGTTCTGAGAGTACAGTAGGGACTATTGTGACTCTTCTACTGTCACTTCTGTGCTAACTACTTAACTACTAGTGTTGCACTCATCAATTTGGAACGGTCTCAGCAGAGTTTGGAACCCAGAGTCTTGGTACCCTACACCCTAAACCCCTAAACCCGCAGAGTTTTGCACAAGACGAGTGGAAGCCCTTTCCACTCCCTTCCTCTTGGCATCGCTTGGGAACATGCACGTGAATTCCGTGGTGGGCTCGCTCGGTCATGGCTTGCTTACTATTGTTGCTATGATTTATATCCTTGTCATACGCTTGTTCCGATTGTCACGATGTTTTCTACTATGGAGGATGATGATGGGGATTCTGCAGCAGAAGATGAACCTCTCGGCCATAACATCTATGCAGCCTGTCCTTTACCTGGGCCCACGTTCATTCTCGGAGTTAATGCGGAGATTCCACTACCCCCTAAGTTTCGAATTATCAGGTGCTCACCATATAAGACTTGTTATAAAGGGGTATTGGGGTCTTTGGGCAGTGCCATTCCTCCGGTCCACACAGAACTGGCTCATTGCATAATCGTGTGGCCTCGCCTCGACCCCTTCAGCCCATCTACAACCCGAATGCACATTGAGGGTGAGCACCCACTCCTGTCGACAGTCTTCTGTCACTTGTGTGGGTAGTTCTCTAAATTAGGGTACCTTTTCGGTCATCTTTATACGTGTGCCGTACTAATATTGGGGACCCACACAGGGACCCAAATTTCGAGAACTACACACATGAGGTTCAGTCTGGCTAAGCCCGGCACAGACCTGTGTTGAAGCAGACTTCAACGAGACTGTGCAGGGGCCTCCGCTCCTTAGATCCTCAAGCTACCAGCAAACCACAGGAATCGAAACAACAGCAATACACACATCGTCAGAACCATCTCCATCATCACCATATCAGAGTTGTCTCGCCGCTCCACCAGTCAAGATCGTTATCGTGATGGTAGCCACAATGCAGATACTACACAGCTTTGAATGGCATTATCTCCCACACAAATGACAAGCTTCGCATCCAAGTCTGGGTCCATAAACGCGACTAAGCCGTGAACCTGGATGAGAAAATCCGAAACCCATACACGTGTAACCCGGCTTCCTAAACCCTTAAACAGGACTGCCAACCTCCGTCCCAACGAAAACTTAGCCTAGGGTTGCTAGACATGCTGGGGTCCTAAACCTCCAAACCCGATTCCAGGCATTGAGCCCCGCATATGCTTACCTTTGGTTAGTAGGGAATGGAGGAATGGGCTACAATTATGGCTACTATTACTACCATTCTTCCATTCCCTACTAACCAGAGGTAAGTATGAACCACAGCACAGGGTTTTGGGTTGTCTTTGAGTTTAGGGCTCTCCACTGAGGCCCTGCTCATCGCAGAGGTGACGAAGGCTGGACATGGTTACGGGTCAGGGGTTCGACTAATATTGTGGCCTTAATCACTGCCCATACTACGTGAGGGGTTCCTTACTGTAACTACACTGTACTGGGGCCCAAAACCCTATTCTAAAAATTCAGGCCCCGAGACACTTCTTCCGGGATTCTGCAAGGATTCAGGCTTCTGGGATGCAGGCTCTGCATCTTGAGTATGTGCTAGTTTGGGCACATGAACCCTCGGATAGGGTTTATCATGAGGCTCGAATCTCTCCCCACCCGCCGAACCCAAACCCTAAACGGGCTCGAAGGCAGCTCCTTGCGGAGTTTCGGATGCCTTTGTCCTGAACCTGTAACGCTTGCGGGGAAGGGGTGGGGGCAGTCAAATTGGTGCAGCTTCCCACATGTTTGCAACAAGAGGCCTGGGAGAAAGTGTTCCAGAAGAACGCGCAGACATCCGATTGTTTCGTCACCGTGACATGGCTGCTGGTGAGTCCGGTCATACTTAGCCAGCGGGATGCCCGAAATCAAGTTGCGCGGTAAGGGTTCAGGGGTTTAGGGGTTTCAGGGTTTGGGGTCAGGCCTTGTACAGTAGAAGCCAGAAAGTTGGAACATCATTATCGTAACCCCCTTAAGGTAAATTATAGGGGATCCTACCATTAATCCATATTCCAACTTTCTGGAGTTCCCTTTAAGATGGAGGTTACACATGTGAGGCTTCAGGAGACTCTTCACTGTGAGCCCGAAAGCAGACTTCAGCAGTCACTATTGGCGGCTGTGTAGGGCCTGACTGGGGTTTGTAACTGTCATATTCGAGCCGAAAAAGAAACTTATATAGGGGTACTTAGAAATGATTAAAATTTTTTGGTTATTAGAATCCCTAAGAAAAAGCTAAAATTCTAATTGTTGCTAGGGTTCTAAGTTCAGTATAGTTTTAGTCATTGTATTCTGTATTCCTTCAACCCAAGGGTAAAAGGAGGGACCCTTAGGTATATACCCTTAATATAGCCATGATCTACCCATTATAGGCTAGGGGTCCCCATTAAGGGTCCCTCCTTTTCCCCTTTGAGTCAAGGTCCCCGAGCCTGCCAACACTCCCAGTTTAAGTCTTTAGGGTTTAGGGTTTACGCTTCTGTATGAGTCAGGCGGCCTCTACCCTTGTATCCTTCAAGCGCACCGCACTAAACCCTAAACCACAAGCCCCTAAACCCTAGCTCCCTAAACCCTACCCAGACCCTCAAAAATAGGCTATGTAATGGCCCAAAACCTATAAAAGGCCATTGTTCAACATACTTTGGGGGTCCAGGTAAAGCCCTAAACCCTAAACCCTAAACCCCTAAACCCTAAACCCTAAACCCTGGTCCAGGTAAACCCGAAGCCAATATAGAAAACAAGCCCAGCAGGCTTTCGGCGGCTTTTGAAGCAGGGGGTCGGTAGACTACGGGATGGGACCCGAGGCCCCTGAGGCTGGAAGCCCTCAGCACTAGCTTTGGGAGAGCTCTACAGGTTTATATATATATATATATATATATATATACGACTTTCTGGGGGTTTCATGTTGAGGGTTTAAGGCTGGTTTAGGTCCCCAGTAGTATGTTTTTCATCAGCCGCAGTACAATATATAGAGGCCTGAATGCCCCTAAGGGTCCAAATGCCCAAATAGTAGGGTTTCAGGAACCAACAGCCATATCGAGCATGGAATTTCGGACCTGAAAACCCGTTACGTGGATACTTGGACCGTAGTACTACCGTTCCTTCTGGTTCCTCATGATGCCCAAACAAAAAGCGAATACTGGCCCCAGGAGCTCCGAACCCACGCAGAAGCGTGATACATCTTGCCCTGAACTCTTATAACCATCAACCCAATTGCGCAAAAAGTGCAGAGGCAAGCTCAAGCAACCTAGCGAGCAGCAAAGCGAGTTTAGGGACTTGTGGATTAGGCTTCAGGATTTAAGGTTGACCTGCTACAAATTACAGGTTATGACCCCTTAATTGGAGGATAGAGCCCCTAGAACGGCAGGTTTTCAGATCCCGAGGGTAAGGTTTAGGAGAGACGTGTTCCGAGGCTTTCCGCCTCTTCCACTCGCTGTTCCTTGTGTTTGCAGTGATCGGCATGCAGGCGGGCAGTAAGATGGTTTGGGGTTTAGGGTTTAGGGCTTGGGGTTTAGGATTTAGGGTTTGAGTTTAGCACAAGGCTGCTTCTGCCTCCCCGACGCACGGGGGCAACCCGCTCTTAGTGGCTGCAGCTTCACACTCCCCTTCACTCTTCACTGCAAGTGGAGAGTGACTGTCAGAACTGCATCCATACTACATGCAGACGTACCTTCTGCCGATGACCGCTTTCCTGGCCCCACCCTGGGGAGCAAAGACCGGTAACTGCAGTTACCCTGCGACACACGTTTGGGCCCTTGCCCTTCGCGGCCAAGGCCTTCTTGAGACGTCTGCATCACAGTTCTCCAGGAGGCCTAATTACATGTTCATGACTCCAGGCAGCGGGCCGGCTGCGCAAACCCATCTCCGAAAGGAAGCCGTCGCCCGGCGCTACCCAGGGTTCGGGACGACCCCAGGATCAGGGCGCGCCCGTGCTCTACGCTGCACCAAGAGCACTTCAAACTTCCCAGCTCAGTTAGCCAGGAACTCCTGGCAAAGCTTGTTCACACTGTCCTTATCTACGGTCGTGCTTATTAAGCCTTTGGGCTCATAACCTGCGAAGCCTACATTTGCCAACCCCATAAAGCTGAGAGCGCAACCACCACAAGACTGCCTCTGGCTCCCGGACGCACGGGGGCAACCCGCTCTTAGTGGCTGCAGCTTCACATAGGGTTTAGGTTTAGGGTTCATTCAGGGCAGTAAGATGGTTCGGGGTTGGGGGTTTGGGGTTTAGCGGAAACCCCGAAGCCAAATCCGCACCATCAAGCCGAAGCTCCCAAATCCTAAACCCGAAAGCAATCCTTCAACCCTCAAGCCCGAAACATCTGTTGGAGTTCTTAGACCTTGAATCCCCCGTAGGAACTGGGAACTTAAGTCCAAACCCGAAAGACAAACGTCATGCCGAAACGGCAGGTCTTTCTTCTACACTCTGTGTCCTCCAAGCTCTGCGTGCCGGCAGTGAGGTGCCTCGGGCGGAAGCGGTTTAGGGTTTAGGGCAAAAACCCAAATGCCGAAGTCCATAGCTGGTTCAACTGTAGTAGAATATGATTAAAAGTAATCCTTATGAAACTGTAGCATAACATTCCCCGAACCCTGAACCTTACACAAACCTTAAAACCGTAGTCTAATTAATGGGGCTCCTACATCATCAATGTACCCAAAGCCGCCAGGGGCCCGCAATTGGAAGTTTGAATTTGCGGCTTGAGGGTAATTGGCGCATCTTTCCGCCACTTCAGTTGGTCCGTAGGCTCGGAAGCGGATTCGGCAGAGACAAGAGGGTCGAGCAAGTTCTGTTCCGCTCGAGCTCCCGTCTGCGAACGCATTGGAGTTCGGCGTGTGGACGACGTGTTTTCAGGTTAAAGCATGCCCATCAAGGTATGAGACTCAATGTCTGTTCAATCTATCAATCTTCTTGCTGAGCGATGGGTGTGTCTGGTATCCTTACGAGCTTGTCCAGGCCACGATGGCTACGCTAAGACAGTTCGACTGAACCCTGACGTCGGAGGTCAGTTTCTGAACAACACGATTATGGGCGTGAAGTTGTTTCGGGAAGTCCCAGCTCAAACCGCGACCGGGAATCGGAAATCCTTGTGGACTAATGGTGTGAACACGGACTGACTGATTTATTGGGTACGGCCCCCACTCAGTAATAGTTGAATAATATTCATAATACAGATATATTAAAACCTTAATAGTAGGCCAACTATAGACTCTTACTGTATGGGGGCAGTGCCTATCTGATTTAAGACTTCGTGACCTCGGAAATGCGCCTTCCTTGGTTATTGCTGTGTGGTTGGGAACTGGTATAAGAATTACCAACTCACAATATCCCTTATGATACTTAACCCTGTTCTACTTGTTAAAGCCCTTATTGTAGCTTCCAAGCTGCTGTCAAGGCAAGTGCGTCGGGTCTACGACGAGTTTCAAGTCGCGATATACGGCGAGGCTTGCATCAAGATTCGATTGCTGACGCTCCGGTTCGTGTAGGCTACAACCATAAACGTCGGCGTAGCCAGCAGAATGAGTAGTAACAGTTGGCAGTATCTGTGGGGACCAAGTTCATCATGTCAGTCGTGGCCACGCACATAGTCACACATGCATGATCGCAGTTGCGGTCCTACAGTCTTTGTGGTCCCTGTGGCTTCGATGTATGCCGGTCAAGAGTGCGGGTTGCGTGCCTTTCGAGAAGCTCCCGGTAAGAAAGCACCTGAGAAAGGATTGAAGGTCGAACTGTTGAAAATCTGTGGGTTTAGGGTTTCTGGGTGTAAGTACGTGTTTTTAGAAGGGGGATGAAGGGTACGAATGCACGTTCGTGATTTTTGGTAGAGGGCTTAGGAGTTGAAGCATACAAGCCTGTGCATACCAAAGCCGCCCAAGCTGCCCAGAAACACCTTTTGCACTTGGGTAGTTCTCCTTTTAGGGTCCTTTTTAGGGAATTGGGACTTTCCGGAAATAGGGGACCCTAATATAGTACCCTAAATAGTAGGATCCTTATTAATTATTATAAGGGTCCCAAAACAAGGTATCCCTATTTTCGGAAACTCCCAATTGCCCAAGTACTGAACCACGCATCCTCAACCCGAAATCCCAGAAAATTATGGTCCCTTTTTGGGTCCTTAATATAGTACGGCACCTAATATTTAAGGTATCCAACTAGTTTTGACAACTACCCACAATCCGTCTCGTCTCCGCAGAACACCTACATCACGGTCAACGGATTCCACCGGGGCAAAGCAGGAGCCGAACCAGATCTGGCAGGCGCTTTACCTTGATTGGGATTATAAGTAGTTAGAAGTATAGTTACCCTAATTATAACCCTAGTTACTAAGTCCCATGATCCTTTCCTGTCAAAGAGTTCAGAGTTTAGGGTTTGAGGTTTGTGGCCTCAGGTTTGGGATGTTGGGTTTAGGGCCTAAGTTCAGGATTGAGGGTGCTATAAGGGCTATTGCAAGGGATCGTTAGCGGAGATTGGGTTTCAGGCTTAGGGCTTCGAACCTGTAGCTCCAACCTTGCAGCTCCCCCCAGTAAGCTGTGATTAGTGTACCCAGGGGCCCCAAAGTAGTTCCTTTTGGGGTAGTATATCAGAGTCCCTAACCAAAAAAGAGGACACACCCACAAAGGAACTACTTTGGGGCCCCTGGGTAAAGACTTCTGCATTGTATGCATCGGATGAGCGATGCACAGACTGTGTGGTGGCGAAGAGAGTCTTTTCCTGTCGACGTGTTGGAACACAACTGTGTTTTTTTGTGAGTGTGTGTGTGTGTAAATGAATAAATACAAGCCAAATATATACATACATAATCATACATACATACATACATGCATCCATGCATGCATGCATGCATGCATCTATATGTATATACAGAGTGCATACATACATGTTTATATACAGGAGTATCAGCATAAGTATAGGTATAAGTTTAAATGCAAGTATGAGTATGAGTATAGGTACAAGTACAAGCAACAATACAAGTGCAAGGATGTAAACATGATAAGGAGAAGTATAAGCTTAAGTCTGAGGATGTAAGTGCAAGTACATGTGTAGGTACAAGTACAGGTACAAGCACACATACTAGTACGAGAGTAAGTATGTATATATATATATATACACACATATACACGCATGTACATAGATAGTTCGATGAACAAACAGATAGTTAGGTAGATAGGTACAGAGATACAAAGATACATGCTCAAACCCTCAACCTTTAACATTGTTGAGACGGCATTCTGGAGCAATTACCATCAGTGAAAGCTTTCTTTTTGACCCGTTTCTTCAAGGCCATTCTGAAATACGGCTCTAGACCTTTCTCCATGCGGTTGCTTCAGAGTCCAGTGCAAGATTTCCGTCATCGGGCGCCCTGACCAGGCTTCCGCGCGCTGTCCATGGAGAAGCAAGTCGAGATCTGCAGTGCGCCGCTGCTGAAGCAGAGCTCTGAACCCTGTTGGCTTAGGGTTTCAGGTTTTAGTGTCTAGGGTCTAGGTTTTCTTTGTGGTTTAGGGTTTAGGGTACAGTAATGACAGTGGAGTACAGAACACCCCAAACAACTGTTCTATTTATATACCAAGGCCCCTACGGTACCCTGAATCCAAAGCCCCGACCCCGAAAAGCTGGAATGCTAGAGCCTCGTCATGTTTGCTATCGCTTTAAGGAAGGCTTCAGGGGGGCTTAGTTTAGAGGCCGAAAAATTGCCAATACTATTTTGGGGGTTCCTGATTATATTTATAGTAGAATGGGCCCCAAAACCCTATTCTAGTTATTAAGGCCCGTATATTAAGCGCTTTGACCCTTTCCTCGCCCCTGATCACCCGCTTAAGCGGGCTTCAAGGGGACTCTCACTTCACAGTGAAATATGGGATGAAGGGAGTCGCTGTCTTATTGGCTAGACCCTCAACCCCCACAAACGCCTAGAGGAATAATAGGTTCATAAATCCGAAAATGAACGATCTGCATTGTAAGGACTATATAAATAAGGTACCCCTGGGTAAAAGCTAGCATAGTGCGGCATCGAGGAGGCGGGTTCACGTAGAAGCCATGATAGACCCCTACAAACAAACCCTCTCCAAACCCTTCGAGTTTTAAAGCCCACCACGAGACCCTCAGCAAAGCTCTTCTACGACTGAAGAACCTAAGTCTTTTGATACCCTAAACCCTAAACTGTGAGGCTTGCATAGGCGGCTTGAAAAGCTGAGCGTGAGGCATGTGGACGCTGACATAACGGCTCTGTTCGGGTTGGATGTTTGTTATTGTTTAGGTTTAGGGGCAGTTTGCGATCGTGGCCCGGGGATCTGTTGTGGTTGACGGCGTTTGATTCAGGATCGGGATTCAGCAATTAGGGCGTGCCTAAACCCGTTCTTGTAAGGTGCCGCTGTCTCAGCCGTACTTCACCTACACCATCTTGCTGATCTGGACCGTGACGTGCTGCGGCTCCATTCTTTTGTATTGAACTGCTGGGAAATGCTTTTGACCTCAAGTTTTCGAAAGACTTAAAGCTGGAAGAGAGTATGTAGAAGGTCTCTTCCATTTTGCCTGCAGAGGCCTACAAGCTTCAGGCCCTCAACCCCTGAGCTGTAACGCTACCACAACCCCGCATTCAACCAGCTGAAGTTCGGGTGTGAACCATTTAAAGATGATCACAAATTCTGCGATGGCTTCCTCCTAGTTGTAGCATAATATACCCCGAAACCCCATTCTAATCATCTAGGCCCCTTGCAATCCTGACCTCTGTTTGAAACCCATACTCATCTAAAGCTTGAAAAAATGAGCCCTAATCTTTTCGATTCAGCTGCATCAGCCAACTTGGCCTTCAACCTAATTGCAGGGCGAAAACGGGCATCAACAAAACTTCCAGTTCTTCAGCCACAATGACACATGGAGACTGCTCCAGGCCCTGAAGCCCCCAAAACTTACCTTAAGTTGGTTAGTGGGGAATGGAAGAATGGTAGTAATGGTAGTTGTACTTGTACCCCATTCCTCCATTCCCTACTAACCAATGGTACGAAAAGCCTTCGAACTTATGCCCTGACTGTTGAACATCAGGCCAAGCCTCAAGTACTTCAGGAGTTTAGGGTTGTGCTTTAGGGATTATCAGTTTAGAGTCTAGGGTTAGGGGCTGACAAAGCATCGAGATTTTGAAAGGCTCCTAGGGGGAGTGGTGGGTCGGACTTCGCATGTTCGGATTTGGGAGTGAGTGGTTAGCTGGTTTGGAGGCCTGAGGCACCGGAGTGTGCTATCCTGGTTCCAAGCATGGAGACCTCAGCTCTAGAACAGTGCTATGGAACAGGCAGCTGAGCTCGTTGTATTTCTGTTCAAGCCTATACGGCGTTGGATCTGCAACCCGAAAATCGTTTTGCCTGAACCCTGACAAGCCAGAAAAACAACCTTGTAAAATAGGGGCCTTAATAATTACCTATAATATTGTGGCGGTGATTTTCATTTTTGTCTATAGCCCAAAACCCTATTCTAATTATTATAGAAAGGTATTCAAGACTCTAAATTCATTGCAGGCGCCAGGCGGGACTACTTATTTCGATCCAGCCTCTATAAGCACCTCAGCCGATGATCTAAATTAACCCTCCTCCTGGACCTCACATACCTCCCAAAGCAGCCAATCCCGCGACCACACATACTTACCACAGCATCTAGCAAGGTGCACCTTTAGTGATCTTTAGAGATTAGGGGTTTAGGGTTCAGGGGTTTAGGCTTTAGGGGTTTAGGGTTTAGGGGTTTAGGGTTTAGGTAGGAATTGTGTGGTTGTTTCCTGTAATACACGCCAAGGGACTATTCAACAGAAAGCTTGTAGTATGGTTGCAAGGGCGCTTAAGAAACTGTCCAAGCGCACCCGAAGCTGCAGCCGTCGTGCATACCCTGGTCAACTGAGATTATCGTTTTGTCAAAAAGATCGAAACGCCCTAAACCCTAAACCCTAAACCGTCGGTGAGCAACAGAACCCAAAGCCGGTAACTCGGTACGGTCAAGGCTGGACGCTGAGTGCTCCCAACGCCACCGTGCAGCCCCCCCCCCCCAGGTTTGAGACATATAGCTTCTTTAAGCGTTACACTTCCCCAGACCCTTCAGGTCTGAATCCTTGAACCTAGCTACCGAGAGTCTGCATTGTAGTTCCTTTTTGCTTTCAACTTTAGGCACTCTCATATCTAGGATCCCTCAAGGTATCCCCCAATCAAAAGAACTACAATGAAGAGTTTAACTTTTTCGGGCTTTAACCTCTTAACCTCCTCTTAAACCCTAAACCCCTAAACCCCTAAACCCCTGAACACCTAAACCCTAAACCCCTAAACCCTAAGCCCAGGTGTCTCGCCGAAATACGGCGAGCTGTGAGGCTCCTGCACTCCACGCTGCTCTCCGTTCCGACGGTGCCGAAGCAGGGGGTTAGTGTTTAGGGTTTATAAACCCTAAACCCTAAGAAGGGCCCCAAAGAGAGGCTTTTGTGGGGCTCAATGCTTCTAGGGCTCGAGGGCTCTGGGGT